GATAATTCATTTTTTTCGTTGGTTCCTATATTTCTAACTTCACTACACTAGATCGCGAGGTTCCGATACACAAATAAACGTAAAAATAATTGTCACCCTTCAGATGATATCATGACATGATCTGCAAGTTTATGCAGTGTCTTTGCTTGCCCAGGCCTTGGCCATTTAATTTGCTCGGACGATTTTTTTTCCTTTCTCGGTTATCGTTCGTATAGCATTATCCGGTTCTTTCTTCTACTCCGTGAATCATCATCCTCTCTTGGAAAGATAGAATTATGGTAAAGGTATATCATTGTCTGCTGTGGCGATCAGTGCCCACTGTTGCCCCAAGTCTTTCGTCCAGGTTTGTGGCATGAGTAAATTTCTTTTAAACATAAATATCAAATGAGTGTTAACATTGATTAACGTTGTTTCGTTAGCCGTTATTTTGATGTTTATGGCAATTGTTAATGGTTGCTGAACAGAGCTCTTTTCCATACTTTATCATGATATAACAAAGTGTCTGTATTGCACTGTTCTGATGTCAGGGTTGGAGAAATACCATCTCTTTCACACTGTCTTCATGGTAATGTTCGTAGTGACAAAGTGCAATGAATGCATGGACGGCATTTTTGTTTTTATCAACAGATGAGTGCATTTTACTGCTAAACCAAAGTACGTCTTGATGTTGAACTTAATTTCAAACGCGGCCTGGCCGGACATCGAATTAATACTGTAGGTGATGATGACGTGACTTTCATCAATCGTATTCGCTACTAACACTTAAGCACGGGGGCTGTTTTGTAACTATCTTAAATCGAATGATTTCATTCCCTTTTTTAGAACTTCAAGATTTTTCTGAAAGCGAAAATCGATTATGACAGAGATCACCCAAATGAAGACGTGAAGCAGATACCGCATTTGGTGCAGCCGGCGTACAATAAGCTTATTGAACAGCTTGGCAATATTGATAAGGTGAACGGCATTTGATACGGCTAATATGCGTTTTCAGAATGTACGAATGGGTTAATATGGCATCGTGTTCGACTAAAATTGTTGATTCAGATATAAGTTTGTTAACGAGACAAGTTTTTGAACACCTTCGTTAGTTTAAGAAATCTTTGAAAGGTTGGCTGTCAAATCATATGGCACTTCTAATCGAGGTTAATCGTTTCATCTGTAACCACGCGTTGCGTTGTGTAGCAGAAGTTCGATTGTCAGCATATGATGCTTCGGCGGACAAATAAATTTTAAGTCGATACGTCATGCCGAAGCTTCTTATTTGGAGTTGAGTTTGCGCGGCTACGCAGCTAAATTCTTCGCATTCCTTTGTTAAAAGTTGTGCTTCGACATTCGGTTTGTGTGGGTAGTAAGTATATTCCTTCCAGTGGTCCTCATGCTCCACCAACCGAGTCAGCCGTTGTCGTGGTCCATTTCTCTTGTACTTAAGCCTTTTATGAACTTTGCACTGTTTGCGGTCGTCGCTATTAACTGCTAGCAGGTCTGCATGTAGTGGTTACATGGTTATCTGTTAGTTGGCATGCACGAGAGCGCGGCTTTAGCATACTTTTTTTAGCGAACTTCTCTGTCTGTGGCTTAAGTGCATCCCCTGTTATAACTCACGGGAAGGGTGATGCTGTATGATCATTTTTGGCTAGCCTGACAATAACTTTGAAGATGGTTCCTTATGAACCAGAGCAATGTCTTGTTAGCTCTAGTATTCGATATTGCTCTAAACTTTCTTGTTCGTCCTTGTAAACAGTACTGACCTGAACCGTAAAGAAGGTCTCTTTCTAGAAATGAGGCGCAGATCAAGAAACCGAACAAATGCTTTGTTGACCTGGGGTTAGCAGATGGTACTCTCCTGATCATCATTGTGGGAGCGATTCTTTGCAACGTGACTGCTTGATGCACTGTGACGGAAACCAGTTTTTTTCTTAATGCGCAGAAGTTAAATGTTACGTAGAATATCTCCGGCAAGAATAATCATTAAACGCAACAGGAAAAAGAGTAGTGGAGAATGTCGACTAGTTTAATTGCCTTGTACCGATCATTTCCAACGATGGCCCTATCATTTAGGGTTAGTAAGGAGGATCACCATAGCCTGAACTGCTTTCAATAACCTGTCCAGGGTTTTCTGTAATAAAATAATGTGAACTTTCACAGTAGCCCGTTTGTACCGGGCCTCGGTGAGGTAACTTATTTTGCGGTTTAGAGACAGTAGTTTTAACGAATGCTGAACAACGTAAAACAGTGGTTTTCTATGCATTATGGGGAATGAGTCCCATGATCGTGTAAGAAATGATTCTACTGGTATGTGGTCATAGCACCTTTAGTTGAACTACAGCTTGGAAAGTTGGAAGTGCCCTTTCTCGTTAACTGGGTGAATGTATTCAGTTCACTCAAGCCCACGAACTTATCATATGGGAATTTAATCGCGATTGACGCCGGCATTGTGGATGACGTGCAATATGAATGAACAAGGTAGAGGCAGATCTGAAGGAATTATTCCTATTATTTCTTCTAGGTTGCCGTAACTGACGCCATTTAATCGAAGTGTTGCCATTCTTTTTGTCAAATTTCTATCCATGTGCTATTCTAGCATGGAAGACCCTGCTTGAAACAGATTTAAATGTTCCAGTCAGCAGAGCTTTCAGGCTCACTGAGATATGCATAGCTTTTCACTGTGTCACGGTTGTCTTCAGGTGTAAAGTAGTGAAATTTTAATTTTAAATGTTTTTAATTTTTAGGATCAGGATCAGCCAAGAGCTGACTAAATGTACCTGAAATAATGCTGTTATGCGTTTCGTCATACCTTCGCTAGATTGCCTTTCTGTCTCAGTCATTCATAGGTCATTGAGTTGCTACCCGTTTCTCGCCTGATTACAGCAGACCACAGCATGGTGGATTCTTTTTTCAAGTGAAATTGTGATCATTTGGAAACATTCACGTGTCCTATGGGAATCAAGTTCAGCATTTCTAGTGTTTACCGCGGACGGCATACTGCTGCAACACCAAAGTTGATTCTTCGATAAACATCGTAGTTTTCTGTGCAATTCGTTTTGTCGAAAACTTTCTGTGAGCTCATTCGGTAAAACACTGGATAGCGTTTGAGATATCACTTAGAATTCCTGCCAGAGTACTCGCTTTTCATTCTCCTAAGGTAGGTAGACGAGTACTACTCTGGGGGAAGAATTTAATCGTTGGTTCCGGCAGTAAATTTTATTTTTGCTACGTTACAGGTTGCGTTAATTTAAAAATGAAGCTTGGCAGGCAGTAAATAAATCTGAATCCGTTGGCTACATCAAGAGGAAAACTGATGGAAGGTCGACTCATCACTTGTCGGTACACGTCAATTTTGTCATTGTATATTCTGTGCTGGCAGATGAGCACCGGTATTATTTTCGTGTTTTGTTTTTGAGGTCTTCAAATGACTGTGGTTGTATAGCGCTTTGTTTTGTATACTTCTGTGTAAGTTGCCTTTTTGTCTGATTTTCGCCGGTAAACAGACTGATCGAGATGCTTTTAGCTTCTGGAGCAACGCGGAACTCGATATCTGATAAGTTCGTCGATGACCATGTACGATTGCGAACTCATGCCACGACTTCATCACATTCGAATCGCCGGCGAGTATCTGTGCGACACTGAGATTCCTCACAATCTTGTTTACTTGTGGAATTACCTTATGACTGCCTATCGAACCGCTGCGTTCATCGAATCTTGCCCGCACGATCAGTCTATCATCTATCACTATAAAGTATTTCCTTTTTTGCAGTCTCTGCGTTTTACTGTAAAATAAAGGTTTCACTGTAAGATTTCACTGAGTTTCCTTATGCATTCTGTTTATTTCCTCCGTCTAGGGTGCCTCTTTTTTATCCCTTTTATCACATTTTGGTTATGTCCATGAAGACCACGCAGAAGTTACCAGGATGAGCCTAGTCGTAATGCTAACGCAGCGTGTACGGTTAACGATTTTGACATATGACATGTCTACTGCTGCTTTCCTTCATTCGATGATTACCATAGTTTTGTTTTATGACATAATGTCTTTAATAACAGTTATTTAGCGTTTACTGCTTTTGAAACAGGAAACAACCGGTTGAACGTTTTTCAGTTTATTAATGCTTCTTTCGGTTGACCGAAGTTTCGAAGGCATGGCATCTGCTGCAGTATTTTAAGTTCATCAAAACTGTAAGGGAACGTGTTGCTGGAGGAAAATCGACAGAATAGTTTGTTTC